AGATCTATACATATATGATTAACAAATAGTCTATAGATGTGTGGCGGGACAGATTAACAAATGGATCTATACGTGTATGCTTAACAAATAGATCTATACATGTGTGGCGGGACAGATTAACAAATGGATCTATAGATGTGTAGTGGGACAGATTAACAAATGAATCTATACATGTGTGACAGGACAGAATAACAATAGATTTATAGATGTGTGGGGGGACAGATTAACAAATGGATCTATACATGTATGACAGAATAGATTAACAAATAGATCTACATATGTGTGGCAGGACGGAATAACTAATGGATCTATAGATGTGTGGCGGGACAGATTAACAAATAGATCTATACATATATGATTAACAAATAGATCTATAGATGTGTGGGCGGGACTGGTTACAAAAATAGATATATCGATGTGTGGTGGGACGGAATAACTAATGGATCTATTAGAGTGTGGCTTGACTTGACATAATGAGAAATTAATTACACATTTTGTGCACGATTTAAGACAAACAAATATAGATTTGTTTGAATATAGCTAAACCTGTAGATGTGAAGATCTTGAAGAGAGCGACAAGCGAATAGAGAGCGACGTGTGCAGGACTGAAACTCCCATCAAGCAAATTCAGGCCATGGCCTATGGTGCCGTGGTCGGGGGCGGGGGGTGGGGGGGGGGCTGGGCTAATGTACAAAAAAATAAGAACCATTATATTTAGAAACGTTTCAAAATAATTTTGAAAAGGCCATTTCATTATGTTTTGTTTTGTTTTAATTTACATCCATATACATGAAACAAATTGAGCTGTACATTTTACGTTGTCCATCTGTACATCTATATTTAAGACAACTCGAAGAAATTCTGTGGAAAGTTGTTGTTGTTGTATTATTCAATGTGTTTTGATGTTATGGAATATTTTAAGTGATGTGGTAGTGCACATGTGAATTTAAAAAAAATTATGTGCTTCGAAGATTTTAACGATTGGACTAAGTGATTAGGCTTCATAAATAGCCTATTACGTTATACATTCTAAAATTAAAGTTATCCAGCAACTTTTTTTTTTTAGGGGAGGGGCGAGGGGGCGGGCGTAGAATTATGTGCGATGTCATATGATGTAGAAATATGTCAATCTGGCCGGGCGTATGACGGACTAATGACAGACTGACAGAGTTACAAACAGTCTCAGATATTGAATCCCCTCTTTTTTTTAACACCAATGAATTATTTCGTCTCTTTATTGCTCTGCATACAATTTGTTTAAATTTCCGCCCCCCACCCCCACCCCCTGACAATTGAATCACTTCCTTTAACTCGCCTACATTGTCCCCCCCGCATAATTAAGGCGCTGTTTTTTTACAGTTCAAATTTGATTAAGCTTTAAATAAACAAATATTTTCTCCCAAATCTCCATAGCTTCCTGGCTCCATTTAGCGAAGGAACGAACGGGGGAGAAAAAAAAACGTAAGGGGCGTGGGGGGGGGGGGCTTGTGAGGGGGGGGGGTTTGTGGGGGGGGGGGGGCTTCTTTTAAACATTACGGAGCTCATACTATTTTTTGGATAAATTATTCTGTAAGCCTTTCGGGACGCGTCACCTGTTTAAAATGTATGCTGCCTGCAATTTGTCTTATGAATTGGTGTGTCTGTCGCGGAACCTAAGTTTGAATGCATCTGTACAAGACTGTGTGTGTGTCTGTGTGTGTGTGTCTGTTTGTGTGGGTGTCGGTCTGTGTGTGTGTGTCTATGTGTGCAGATGTGTGTGTGTGTGTCTATGTGTGCAGATACCCCCACATGAGTCTGTGTATGACAGGTATATTAGTTATATAATATGTATATATATATATATATATACATCGTGAGAGAGGGGAAAAAAAAGGGGGGGGGAGCAGGGTGGATTGGTAGGAAGAGAGTAAGCAGAAGAATAAAAAGGAGAAGGTAACTAGGGAAGCGATAGGTAACGGTAGGGAGCAGGGCCGTGACGAGGGAAATGGCGCCCATCAATATAGAGAACAATATGCCCACCGGGGCCTATCCGTACAAAGGGCGATTCTGGCGCGCCTTGTCGTTATGAAGTGCATGTGATCTTATCGTATAATTCGCTGTAACGGTCCTATCTAAATACGATTTTGGCTGCCCCCCCCCCCGACCCCTTGGTCCTATCTAAATACGATTTTGGCTGCCCCCCCCCCCCGACCCCTTGGATGTTGGCATCCAGGGCGAGTACCCCCACTAAACGGGTTCTATTTTTTACATTACAAGGTCAGTGCAGAGTTTGAAACATATCCTGGGAAACATAGTGTAGTCAACATGGTGGGTGACATACTGTAGGCTACTTCATGGGAGATATAGTGTAGGCATCATGGTGGGTGACATACTGTAGGCAACTTCATGGGAAATATAGTGTAGGCATCATGGTGGGCGACATAGTGTAGGCAACTTCATGGGAAATATGGTGTAGGCATCATGGTGGGCAACACAGTGTAGGCAACTTCATGGGAAATATAGTGTAGGCATCATGGTGGGTGACATAGTGTAGGCAACTTCATGGGAAATATGGTGTAGCCATCATGGTGGGAAACATAGTGTGGAAAACCTAGCGTGTCCAACAAAGTGTAGGCATCAGGTAACACGTTGCCTCATGACGCCCGTTGGATGGGCACACTCGATGTTTTGTACTTCCTGTAAAACCTTTATACGTTTGTAATCATGTGTATTGCGATGGTGGCGTGTTCGAACCCTATCTCCAATGAGAAAACCCGAACCTTAAAGACGGGGGAAATTGGGGGGGGGGGTGGGGCTGGCTTGTGGGTGTGAGGCTTCGGGGGAGTGGCGTCCCGCCCGTCGCCCTTCAAACGGGATTTGCGGCGACGCCCTTCCCCAGATGCAGCATCTTGTGGGCGCCCCACACGACCGCCTCGAAGAAAGACGTCACGGCGTCCGGTAGGTAAATGTAGGCCAGGAACACCAGTGCTATGTAGGGCACCAGCAGGAAAGGGGGCAGGAAAAAGATCAACTCCACCATCGTGTACAGCACCCACAGAATCAGTTGGCAGAAGAACAGGGCAAACCTTGCGATGGAGCCAAAGAAGCCAGCACCTTGGAGAGTAATTTTTTTTTTTTTAAANAACCCTATCTCCAATGAGAAAACCCGAACCTTAAAGACGGGGGAAATTGGGGGGGGGGGGTGGGGCTGGCTTGTGGGTGTGAGGCTTCGGGGGAGTGGCGTCCCGCCCGTCGCCCTTCAAACGGGATTCGCGGCGACGCCCTTCACCAGATGCAGCATCTTGTGGGCGCCCCACACGACCGCCTCGAAGAAAGACGTCACGGCGTCCGGTAGGTAAATGTAGGCCAGGAACACCAGTGCTATGTAGGGCACCAGCAGGAAAGGGGGCAGGAAAAAGATCAACTCCACCATCGTGTACAGCACCCACAGAATCAGTTGGCAGAAGAACAGGGCAAACCTTGCGATGGAGCCAAAGAAGCCAGCACCTTGGAGAGTAATTTTTTTTTTTTTAAAGTGAAGTCAGTAGAACACTTGGCGAGATAGCAAATCAATACTGCACTGGTCGGCAAGCCGTGGCTCCGGAGTCACATGCGGCTCTTTCAAAGGACATGTGCGGTTCTTTTGTATATCATTTTAAAAAATGACTCAGTGTAAATATAGATATATATAAATATATCATAATTTTAACAAAAATGATTCCCCACAAGGAGAAGGTTGCCGACCACTGCAATGTGGAACATGAATCGATTACATGAAATTCATACAGAATTTGATGGGTTTTTTTTATATTTTCAATACCTTTTAATAATTTTACAATTATTCATTTACATTATCTGCAGTCTTCTACAACCATCTACAGTCTTCTACAACCATCTACAGTCTTCTACAACCATCTACAGTCTTCTACAACCATCTACAGTGATTTTGAATGTTAATTTAAAAAGCACGCGTTTGCCATACGCTGCAGTTATTGGTCAGAGTCAATTTAAAAGTAGATGTCGAGGAGCGTGACGTCAGATCAGAGTCTTGTTGACCTAATTGAAGACTCTAACCTGTCTAACCTACAGATCCCATTCTCAAATCAGCCCCCAGAGCACAGTTACCAGTCATAGAATACAATGTCAGAAACATATGCTAGAACCGGAAGTGAACTGGAGACTGAGGTTGTTGATCGTGACCTCTGATGCAACTGGGGACCTAGTCTTTCGACTCGGTGTTTCTAGGGCTCACGTGTAGCCACTGACTGGCAAAACTAAAGTAGACAATGGCTTATACACCTGGAGGAATTTAATGGGGCACTGTTACTTTTAGGAAGTGGTGCCTACCTCAGTCAGCAACACTGTACCAATGAGTACCCTGGGTAAGTCTACCAGTCAGCAAAACTGTACCGATGAGTACCCTAGGTAAGTCTACCAGTCAGCAAAAATGTACCGAAGAGTACCCCAGGCAAGACTATCAGCCAGCAAAACTGTACCGATGAGCATTTCCAGGCAAGTCTGTCAGCCAGCAACACTGCACCTATGAGTACCCGAAGTACCTCTACCAGTCATCAAAACTTTGCCGATGAGTATTCCAGGCAAGTCTATCAGCCTGCAACACTGCACCTATGAGTACCTGAAGTACCTCTACCAGTCAGCAAAACTGTGCCGATAAGTACCCCACGCAAGTCTGTCAGTCAGCAACACTGCACTTATGTGTACCCGAGCTAAGGCTATCAATGACCACGACAATTTAGAATACATAACCTCCTTATTTTCCCCCTCCCCCCCCCCCCCAGTGTTCCTGTTTTCGTTTTTCTTTCTTTTTTTTAATTTATTTAAACTTACCAGGAAGACCAAGCACACTGTGAAACTCCTTTTTTTTCCCCCCCCCCCCCCCCCCAGTGTTCCTGTTTTCGTTTTTCTTTCTTTTTTTTAATTTATTTAAACTTACCAGGAAGACCAAGCACACTGTGAAATAGGAAAATGAGTGTACTCAACAAGAGATCACAAGCGAACATCAGGGTGCTGAGGACGCGCCGTGCGAAGAACGCCAGCAAGTTGCGAAACATCTGTGCCAGGTAGTAGATGTGCTGGGGTATGGTGTACGCGAAGCCAGGCTTGGCTGTCATGGCACCATCCGGTGAAAGGGGCGCGGTGCTCGGACTATCAGCGCCCCCCGTGTCGGTGACCCCCATGTCGGTTTCTGGGGCTTGGGGAAAATCAGCCTTTACATGCTCCCCCTTTTCGGTCTGATCATCCGGGAAGTTTGATGTTGACCGGAAGCTTTCGCTGGTTGGTTCGTGCTCCTCGCAGTGTGACGAGATTGGCTCATCTTGCGCTGGGGTGTTTAAATCGTGCTCAGTTCCGCTTCCGTTCGGTATCGCCGATCCGATTACTCGGTTGGCTGCACCGAGGGGGTCGTTTCGGGGATCTTCGCTGGGGCCTTCGGGGTCGCCCCCTTCAGCGTCTGCGACGACTGGCTCTGCTTCTTGACCGGCTGGATCAGCTTGTTGATCTCGCTCGCCGTCTGCGACGACTGGCTGGTCGTGCTGACCGTCCGGCTCAGCGCCGGGCCCACGTCTCTTAGGGTCTGCGTGGAGTGAGTCGTCTTGATGACCGCCTGGCAGGCTTGACTCCTCGTGCTCTGGGGCCGGTACAACATGTTCCGCCTGAGGGAAATTTGAGAGGGCGGTGTGTTCGCTGAGCTGTAGGTCGGTCTCGATTGTGTCATTTTCGTGACCGACAAGGGGGATTCGGTCAGTTCGCTCAGGGGGGGCAGCGTCAGTTCGCTCGAGGATGCTAGTGTCGTCTGGCTCATGATGTTGCATAATTTTTTTACTCCCTTGTAACAAAAAAAAAAAAAAATCACGATAAATATTTTTTCAACAAGTAAATTAAAACTTTTTTTGTAAATAATTACACTTACAGGAGTAAAACCACGGGGCCACATTATGACGCCACTGATTTACCACACAGGAATAAGCTTAAATGACCATTGGTTCTAAACCAGTTTCTATATTCTGTCTTTTTTTGTCTCCAATATTTGAGGTCCCACAATCAATTTGTTGATCATTCTGGCTCCTGGTTTGAATTCAGAGTTTGCCTTCTCTTAGATGAGTTGCCGTCCAGGGCTAGCGAGTCCGATTCACTCGAGGTGCTTGGGGTGTTTGCATTGGTGGGGATTGAACCAACGCTATTTGGTGTGAGTCGGTCTAGACCGCTCTGCCATCCAGTACCACCTTTCACCACATACACCTGTCTACGATGTATCAAGCCTGTGGTGCAAGGTTTTTTTTTCAAATACGACAGCTTTGTGCATGGGTGGGCTTTTTATCAATTTTAATGGCAAGAATCTTATAATTTATTAAAAGAACGTGTTTGTGGGGGAGGGGGTGTGACACTGGGCCTTTAAAATACAATGTTTGAGAGATTCAGTCCATGGTGTATCCAAAAGTTATTTGGTCACGAGGGGATAGCAACATTATTGACACCATAAAAAATAAGCACTACCTGAAAAAGAAATCACTCGAGCCAACGCTGCGAAAAAAAGGGAGAAGGAACAGTGAACAGAGGCCTCGCTAGAGTGTTTGGAAACCAGCAACAAAATTCATGCTTACCTCCTTCTACCCCTGCCCCCCACCTGCCCCCCCCCAACCTCTTTCCTTCAAGTCTGAAACCCATTATTTCCATCCAATAAAATAACAAAACCATTTTGATGCTTTAACTAGTCTGGCGCCCTGTGACATTTCCCCCCCCCCCCCCCCCAACCAATCTTCCCCGCTTAGCTACGCTTCTGACAGTGAGGTACAGATCTCTAATGTCCAGCCCTACCCAACAACAGGAATGTAAACTTGTACAATGTTAGCAGGATGGAGCCCGAAGAATCATGTTTTCATTGGACAACTGACAGCTTGGTATCAATGACATAAACAAAAATTATTTGTGTAGTCCATATGAAATTTGTCATCAAAATTTAACACTATTTTTATAACAGGTTCGTATAATTCTTGTGTATTAATACTTATTATTATTTATCTTGTTCTAAATATTATGCAGGCATAAATTGAAATACTTATTATACATTTATATTAATGTTATATTTTATTTATGCATGTGTTGTGTTTTATGCTAATTGCTTTTACTCATATAACTGGGGTTTTTTTTTCTACAACACCTTGTTTTATTTTAAGAGTCTAGCCCTAGCAGATAAGCGAGCCCTTGTCTTTGGCGGAGAACTAGAAAAGCACACAATACCCTTAGCCCGGCGCCATTTTCTTGTGAATTTTGTTACTAGTTTCCATTTCCGGTGACTGTATGATAGGGTGATTAAAATGTGTAACCTCTTAATTGCTACGAAAAGAAACTATTGTTTTCAGTACGCGATCATTTTTTTACAGCTGTTCATGCATTAATTCGGGTTCTAGAGCTTATATTATATAGGTGTAGGTTAGTGCAGTGTTTCTCAAACCGATCTCACATCGACCCGCGGATAAAAAAATTGAAACATTTTGAGAAAGAAAAAAAAAATCAGTACAATGTAAAATCATTTTTGTGTATGGGATTTTAATCAGCAAACACGAATGACTTTCCAATTTCACATTTGAATTCTAAACAATCAATGTGGCTGATTTCGCTAATTTCCAGTAACCCTTAATCATTTTTTTCTTTCAATTAAATAAACAAATTTACGTTTATATGACCGACGTAAGACTTACTGGCTCAAGCTTTGTGTTTCGAAGCTGTGCAAAAAGTTTAAAATTGCCTGGGACCTGGTACGTTGATAACAAACTGGTTTGTTGTGCTGACATAGTGCACAGCTCTTGTTTACGTTAATACTGTCGATATAAATATGCCAGGAAATAACACGAACATTCTGACATCGACTGACAAATTATGTGCCATGAAAAAAACAAAACAAAAAAAAACTTTTTACTATGGAAGAGAAAAGTAAGAGAGGGGAAAAAAAACCAAGAAATGTTCCCTTCTGTACAGGATACCAACGTGGCAATCATTTCTCCAGTTATTAAACATTTAATAATAACAGACCAATTGTTTTTTTTAATTTCTATACTTTAACACTGAACAAATTGATTGGATAAGAAATGCGATTATTTTTTCCGAATTTTCCAGTACTTGTAAGATATACTCTCAATACCAGATACCCTAAATAGGAAGCAGCCGGAAATGAAAGCAGTCCACGATTCACACCAGAAGCGTAATATATACACACACACATATATATATATATATATATATATATATATATATATATATATATATATATATATATATGTGTGTGTGTGTGTGTGTGTGTGTGTATACACATATATATATAGATCTACAGCAGCTGGAAATCCAAGCATGAAAAAGAAAAGCATCAGTTAGGTCTGCGTGGAAGGTTTTTGAAAATCGTCAAAATAATATTCTTAAAAAAACTTTTTTTCTTAAATTCCAAAAATCTGAATAAATCCCATCAGTACCGAATCAATCGATGCTTCATTGGCAGCACACAGTTGAACTAAGGTTACAGTTGAAACGTGAGTACTGAGTACGCAGGTGGCTTCTGAGTCCTAATTACGCATGAAAAGCTTGCCCGCAGGGAGGACCCAAGTGTTTTTGCGTCCTAACGATATTGGGTCGTAACTATGTATGCTAGCTGAAATGTCCCATTCAGAAATGGCGTCAGTGGGCCGTCGAGCTGAACGCTCTTTATGCCCTCCCCAAAGCACCCCCACCTCTAAGCCCGGTATCGGGCCGCGAAGCGGCACGTTGAGATGTAACTTTGCCAGGACAGCCCCTACCCGAGTTCACTCGATCGGGCTCCACTGGGGGCCGCCCCAACCCGAAGATAACCGGTCGGTCCGATACTGTGTTGGCACACAGTACACACGATCGACTTTCTCAGGAGTTGGGATGGCAATTTTTTTTATTTTTTTTTTTGCTGGCATCCGTCCGTCACAATGTGACCATGGAGTGGGCTTCGGAGGACGAAATCTACATGGCCTGGGATTATTCTTCAAGGATTATAAGCTGGTTCCCAACAGCAAATCGCCTCTCTCCACGCCGCTGGATAACCCAAGAGAACATCATTGGATGATACAGCTTGGCACCAGTGACGTCGCAGGGGTTGTCGGAATGTTTCATTGTATCAATGTTATCCGCCTTTCGGGACTCCATCTCCGGGTTTGATTTCAGAGTTTCCATCTCTTAGATGAGTTGCCATCCAAGGCTAGCGAGTCCCATCCACCCAGGATATGGTAAATTTACCTCCTAAAATATTCCCTCACCCATCCCGGGGAAGCGTTGGACGCCCTTTAAGAGGGTTTCTACAGTGGGTTTCCACGACGCAACAACTTTGCGAAGTAGCTGGGACGAAACGGTTGCCTAGGAACAGCTTCTCAGGGCTGAATAGTAAGAATCATCGGCTAGCTGAAAGAATTGCTTTGCTCTATTCGTAATGATTATAGAGTTGTCATTGTTGGGAGACTACATGCAGGGTGACCTTGGCGTGGTTTAAATGCACATTTGCTGTAATGGGAATAATCTCCACGCTGAAATGTCTCAGAAGCATTGGTAAGCAACGTGTATATAGAAATGACTTGTTGTAATGGGAATAATCTCCACGCTGAAATGTCTGAGAAGCTTTGGTAAGCAGACTAGGTATAAAGACGTCTTGTTATAATGGAATTAATCTCCACGCTGAAATGTCTGAGAAGCACTGGTCAGCAGCATTTGTACAAAAGCGACTGGTGTTGTTGTTGTTGTTTTTTCTGTGTTTCCACATTTACTACACAAACCAGATCAGTGGCGCCCAGGTTTTATTCACGTTAAGAAAATGTGAAGTGACATTGCTTTCAGTAGGATGACGTCCTAGCATGAAGCGAGACTACAAGAGACGTAAACTGCTGGGACAATGCGATCGATTCTTCGAGTGCAGTGGCGTAATAAAGGTTGATGGCACCCAAGTCATACATGGGACACCTTGATCAGTGGCGTAGCTAGATTTCGTGCCGCCCGGGGCGGCGCAAGGTTTTTGGCGCATCATCCCCAAGAAAATAATATATGGTTGGCCAAAAACGCCAACACCAATATATAGAAAAGCAAGTGCAGAACTGGCTGAAAAATTTTTGACTTAAAATTAAAACTTTTTTCTTATATGAATAAAAATACAATCTCTTCCAACATCGATGTGTACCATGATTGGCTTGATTTGAAATTTTCTAAATCTCAATTATATCTGTTTTGTTTTTGCTTTTTAAATAGGTCTCTTTTATAGGGGCATAAGTTTGGTTTTTGCCTTTCGGTGCCATTCATCCTTGGTTCACACCTTTTGATGGATTATAATCAGGGGTCGAGTCCTGTGGAAAAAGTGAGGGAAAGATTCCCCCACCCCTCCAAAAATAAATATGTATTTATTATTTAGCACAAAAAATAATTCAGGAACGCCGTTCCCATGCGTTCGTGCGGAACTCGACCCCTGGTTATAACAGAGAATTAATTCATTGATGTCTGTAAATAGACAATTTATTGGCTGGATTAAGGGATGGGTTATTATAGATAATTCATTCCCTGCAATAAGTGCATTTAGCCTATCTCTTCAATACATCCTATTGTCATGACCAAGTTGTAAAAACAAGTATTTACCGAGGCCATAAAATGAAGTGGTCCGTCCAGAAATACTTTGTCAATGCACATTTCGTCCTTGGTTGGACCGAGCAGATATTTCTAATCTTAATTTTGTCATGCTCGAATGAGACGTGTTGATTGTTCTGTTTCAGTTCTACTGTAAATTATGGCTGTTGTGTTGTTGTTTGTTTTTATGTGTTCTGTTTTGTTGTTGTTGCTGCTGTTGTTATTTAGGAGGGTGTGTAGACTATGGTGACGAAATGTTTCCTGGGAATGTTCGAGCCAAGGGCGGGGGGGGGGGTGTTGGTAGCTGGTGTGTGGAGTAGAGCTAAGACGAAATTTTAGCGTTGCTTTGTTCAAAGACTAACAGCAGACGATACCCTCTGAGCAGGAAGCCAGGAACTTCCGGTGTTCCATATGAACTCTTTGCTATCAATGGCGCGTTACTTCTGGCTTAAAAACTCGGTCTCTCGAGCAAATTAACGACATGTGACACATGTCGCGTGAGAGGGGGCGGGGATCAGTGGGTGATCATTCGTTAGGCCCACCACTAGACATGAGTCTAGGGCCCCAGGCTCACAGGGGCCCCATGATGAAATAAAAATATGATTTCGACATCAGCCTAAAAATCACAAGTATATTATTTTACTGGATCGTACAATGTAGGTGTACTAAATGATGAAATCAGCATAAAAATACGTGTAATTTTTGAAAGTACTGGCAATGTTTGGAATTTATTAGAATTTTAAAGACCTAACGATGTGAATATCGGTTCAACCGAGAGGTTATGATAAGAATCGGATATAAAGGGAAATGAAAGCTCCGTCCTGTTGCGGAACATTTGGGAATACGAAACTCAGTTTATACGGGAAACTTAAAAGAAATCAAAACAAAACCAAGAACGTATCAGGAAACAAAAATTCCTCTTCGTTGTAGAAAATAACTGTAGAAATGAGAACTGAACATTGTTAAAACAAATCTTGTAGAGCAGTAAGTTGTGTTAGCTATGAGAGGAAGCAGCAAGTTGTGCTAGCTATGAGAGGAAGCAGCAAGTTGTGTTAGCTATGAGAGGAAGCAGCAAGTTGTGTTAGCTATGAGAGGAAGCAGCAAGTTGTGCTAGCTATGAGAGGAAGCAGCAAGTTGTGCTAGCTATGAGAGGAAGCAGCAAGTTGTGTTAGCTATGAGAGGAAGCAGCAAGTTGTGCTAGCTATGAGAGGAAGCAGCAAGTTGTGCTAGCTATGAGAGGAATCAGCAAGTTGTGCTAGCTATGAGAGGAATCAGCAAGTTTTTTAGCTATGAGAGGAAGCAGCAAGTTGTGTTAGCTATGAGAGGAATCAGCAAGTCCGCCAAAAATTAAAGGAAATTAGCGAAACAAAGTATGGGGAAACCTGAAAAAATGACGAAACAGAACAATGATCTTGTCGGCAAGAAGCCTTTTTTCGGTGAACAAAAAACAGTAAAAAGCAATATAAAATTATAATAAACACTTAGTTGCAATGTAGTGTCCTAGAGGAATGTAGTGTCCTAGAGGAATTTAGTGTCCTGGAAGAATGTAGTGTCCTAGAGGACAGCAAAAGAAACGTGGCAAAAAACATATAAAACAATATTTTATAATGGCGCATGCGCTTGTATGGAGTGTTTGTGACTCTTTGTGGTATCTAAACCGGTCATCATCAATGAACTAGTGGGGGCGCTAAATAAAATGCCAACGAATACCACCCTCCCCCACACACAGAGCGAGCGAGAGAGAGAGGGAGAGAGAAATGATAGAGTGATCTGAAGTGTAGTATTAAAGTTAACTTTACAAACAGAGAAATCAATTACTTTATTTAGTTAGCCTTTTGGTGGGTTGTTGAATAATAGCACTATTGTTTATTTTTAAAAGCATGTAAGTTACGTTACATTACAATTAATTTACATTGCATTTATATTTTCTAATTACGTTACCTATTATTCAATCATTATCTTTCTTCTTTTTTCTCTCTCTCTCTCTCTCTCTCTCTCTCTCTCTCTCTCTCTCTCTCTCTCTCTCCCTCTCTCTCTTTTCCCATCGCTTTATTGTATGTTTTTCTCTCCCTCTCTGTTTGTTTCACTCCTCTCATATATTTTCTATTTACGTTACCTATTTTTATATCATTCTCTTTCTTCTTTTTTCTCTCTCTCTCTCTCTCTCTCTCTCTCTCTCTCTCTCTCTCTCTCTCTCTCCCTCTCTCTCTTTTGCCATGGCATTATTGAATGTTTTTCTCACCCTCACTGTTAATGTCACTCCTCTCTAACTTTCACTGCCACTTCGTCTTGCAGTCATCCTCTCCCTCTCGTAAGCGACATCTCTTCCTCTCGACTGAGAGATTCAAAGGTCCCCTTTGAAAAGATTGAAACAGTGGGGATGTTATGCCAGCTTGAAACAGTGGTGATGTTATGCCTACTGCCGTGTATTTTATAAGGTAGGCCCACATTCCCTAACACGACTTCACTCGTTCCTTGAGCTCTTCGTCCCAATAATTAAAAAAAGAGGACACAACCAATAACTTGTTAATTATTCCTAACCATTAAATTTAATATTGTAATAAATGTTAGCACAGTACGTCGCAATATCCAGACTGTCACAGGGCGGCTTTTCTGTATGTTGTTGTAAACAAGGGTGGAACTAGAACGCATCCATTTTCATTTATTTTATTTTTTTATTATTAATTTATTTTATTTTATAGTGGGAGATGTGGCGTATCTGGAGTCAGTGCCACCCATGGTGGGCAAATATTTTTGACGTCCCCACCCCCCTTAATCGAAACAAATGCCACCCCTCAATATAAAGAAAAAGTGCCAACTGGGGCGGATCACCCCCCTCGCCTCCCTTCCTGGGCCACTCAGAGTTACGATTAATTTGTACAAAACCAACACCGACGCTCATAAATTGATATGTTATGAACCACTCCATAAGAGTTGGTTCTATATTTCGTGTCCATAATGTATAAAAGTTAGCTTTTTTATTAGGTTAAGAGTTATCATTGTGTGAAATTCTGAAATATAATTTATAAATATATTAAAGAATTATATATTAAATTGGTAATAAAATGTGATAGTTTAAACTTATTTTTTTATTTTTATATAATATTTTAGACTCTATATACCTTTTAAAATTGATAAGAAGATATTATTTTTAATTATATTTATTCTAAAAGATACCCTCATGGGAGAAATAAAATGGCGACGTCCATAAGCAAATGACTATGACCTCATGAATGAAAGACTCAAAGAAATGATATACGTTTCCAATTTTTAATGAATAACGATTAATTCCAAGTTATTGGTATTATTAAGATTTAAAATGAGACTTACCATTTGCGTATGCAGTGGAATTCGTGACATCACTGTTCGAAGATGGAATAGAGTTTGGCGATGTCGTGGGAAATTCTATGATTATCCTCCAACTATTCCACCAAGTCTTATAGCCAAAGGTAAGATTGAGAAATACTATTAGCAGTTATTTAACATATAAAATTAGACGCAGTTTATATAGGTCGATGAAAGCCTATTATTAGTTGTAAGTAGATGTAAGATAACTGTTTTAGTTTAAAACAGTTTAATATTACGAAGTGTATGTGTTAGAATTATTTATATAAATTATAAATTTATAAATATATGACATACCCAACGACCAGACCAATAGGTTCTTGAGATATTTGTCCGGCGACCAAGTCACATGATCATTGTTCCTTTCTTTCTTTCTAAAATTATGTATGTTTAATAGTATTAATATTAGGGTTGAAATAAAAAAAGTATCCTATATAACTATTGTTTGAATTTTTTTTCTTTCAAAATAGGCTATATGATATGTTACACTAAGTTACAGTTACAAGTTACAGTATATTATAATTAGATAAGACTATTTAAAAAAAATTTTTTATTTGTTTTGTTTACATGATAGTTATTTATTGAATGTAAACATACATTTATAGCATTATTTTTATCTTCACTAACTTACTATTAACTTCATTTTAATTTCATTTTTTCACATATGAAAATGAACAAATGGTTAATAGTTAATAAATGACAATATTAAATAAAGAGTGATGCCGGATGAATATCTCCCACACTATTTGTCCGGTCGCCGGACGTGCAGACACTGCCATAGTATTATATGAGTAGAGCCAAGGCTAAGTAATAATAAATTAACCCTAAAAAACCTAAGACTGACATTGGAAGGGATAATATTATTAATATATTAATAATCACTAATCAGGTAAGTGAGAGTAAGTTTATGCCATCAAATCAATTATTAAAATGTGTCATATTTATAATGTAAAATAAGTAAAACAAAGTAGGGTTAAACCTGAAAAAAAGAAACGCAACAATACAACGAAAATGTTGTCAGGAAGCCTTCATCAGCAAACAAAACAACAGTAAAAACAGTACAAAAATAAAAATAAAAAACAGCTTAGAAGTAGTATCCGTGGGCAGCAAACAAAAGAATAACTACAGCTGTTACATTTCTTGGATTTCAATAAATTGCCTTGTTATTTTAAGGAGGGACAAATGAGCATATTATAAATTTACTGGTAATTACATAATGACTTCTAAGAAAAGACAACAATCACATTATTTTCTTTAAAATATTTGTTTATTTATAGAGGGAAGGCAATCATGTTTGAGCATGAAGCCATTAAGGTGCACTTTTTTAATTATATGTAGCATATTAATGAATTATCTTTATGGACAAATGAAATTTTGATAGTTAATAGATATTTGTCATATCTGTTTCTTTGAAATAATATCAGGTATCAATGTAATAGAGGTTAACAAAATAGAAACACCAAGAGAAACATGGTCTCCACCAGTTCCTGATGATCCAAGATGTGCTCAGCCTATTCCCCTTGAACAGCAGCCTGACTGGAAGCAGGAGCCTGCCTTCATTCATCATGATAATGTCCGCTTGTTTGAGGGTGACTAGTTTTTTTTTACATTTTTATATCAAGAGTCAACTATTGAAAAAATATTATTTAAAATATTTTCTAGAAATGTTAAAATAAATTCAGAAAAATGTGTTCCCATTGAAAAAAAAAATGTACATTTTGTTTTTGTAAATTTTTTTTTTCCAAAGGTGTGAAGCAAGCCTGTCTTATAGCAAAAGCTCAACACTTTCAAGGTTTCCCATCAGCTGTAGAAAGTTTAGTTGGAGCAATAGATATACCTGATAAAGTAGGTAAAATAAATTGAGTTAGTGTTTAATTAGTCTAATTTATGGATTATGATAGAAATTTCCCCAAGTCTTGACCAACACATTTATGTGATTAATAATTTGTTTATAAAACAACTTTACTTATATATATATATTGCTATAATAATGGCAGAAATAAGAAATTAGTTCATCACATTTACATCTAGAAGTCATACTATAAATTTTAGAGTCATGCAAAATATTGTATTATAGAGATCCAAGGGAGTAACCTCATTTGAATGAGTCATCTAATTTTTTAAGTCTTTCATCCAAAAATTTAGCAGTTTGATAATCAGTTTAAAAGTACCTACTATAGTTTAAAACAGTGGTTCTCAAAGGCGACAAGGCTTGGGACATTTTTAGGAGGCGTTGGGACCATCAAAGGGGCTAAACTAAAAGAAATAGAAGACTTATCAACAGAGGGAAATATTAGAGGAATGTGCATGAAGATAAAAGATGACAAGAAATGATATCAATCCAGACCTCGAATGTGAGAGCCATGAAGGAAAATTAATTACGGAAAATGGTAAAGTATTGGAGATGGGCTGCATTTTTTATGGGCATACTAAATGCAGACAAGGGACAAGATGGAGTTTATCAACCACGACATGGAGACCAGACCCTTTAATAAATGCCCCGACTTTGGAAGAAACTACAAAAGTAATTAATTCAATGAAAAACCACAAAGCTCCTGGAGAAGACCTCATCACAACAGAACTTATTAAGTATGGAGGAAGAGAACTGCACTCTCAGACACATAAACTTATAACTAAAATTTGGCACAAAGAGAAAATTCAAACAGAAACAGCACATCAAAGGTGATGGTGGGCATTATGTTGGAAAGTTCGTTTTAATTAGCATGATATGTTTCAAAGAAAAATGGTTTTGATTTTCGGTAATAAAGAAGAGTCGATGAAAGATATATATATTTTGACACACAGTGAAGTGAAAAAGATTGTTTGATCTATTTTTCAAACAGTTAAACACTGATACAACTGTTTGAAATTATATAACAATTTAGGCATATTTTAATCTATTCTTACAATTTTCAGGACCTGATTCTTCAGCGGTTCATCATGCAGTCCCAGAAGTGGAACACGGATGAAGTGAAATTGCCCAAACCTTTTGATCCCAGGAAGCCACGCTGGTCATGGGTACGACCTATTGGAATAACTCCTCTTAAATCATCGTAAGATCTGTCATTTGGTTTTGTTCTTGTTAAACATGGATTAACATAGATAATCACATAGATTTTTTGTTTAAAAAAAAAATAGATTCACACTTTTATCTGATAGTGCCACTACTAATAAGAATAAAGAAATTTTTGTAAACAAACTTATCAGTCATGAACCAGTGGATATTTTTGTGCCAGCCAACTTTTCCAAACCCAAGCAAATTTTACTGGTATACTAGGGATAACTTTGGTTCAGGGCTTCTCTCAAAATTATACCAACTTATAATTGCCCCTACCCTCTTCAGAAACTAATGCTATGTTAGAGCTAGAAGAGAATTAAGTACTCTCTTGACAGGTCCACTCTCACACACGCACATCCACACCACATTTAGCACACACTTGTGTTTTCATTGATTATGTTGATGAGCTGACTTGTTAATTTTTATTTTTTTTAAATTAATTAAAGAGAAATTTTATTTTTTTATTGCAGACAAATTCTTTTGAGAAATATTATCAGGCTGTGTCAGACGCAGATAGCAGAGTTTCCTTCTTTTAACACTAGGAAGAGTATCTACGATCAGCCACTCTATTCTCATGTCATTTATAAAGGTAAGTATTTTGCTGTTAATTCCTATATGGGTATATATGTCAATGTGTATTAAAAATTTATGGTAATAAACGCTACTGAAATTTAGGGGTCGCATTATAAGCGTAAGTGTAATTTAGCAAATTATTTTTTATTAACACATAGCGGGAAGGAAAATTCACAAATACTCCTACCATCCCTGGGTAGCATTTTAATGTTAAGTTCCCTCCTAATGGGAGGGATAAACCACAAATTTTGAATAGTTGAAGTAGCTTCCTTAAAAGTCAGCTTTCTGTTGGTTAATTTTGCCAGCTCTGGTGTTACAGCTTCCATCCCGTAAGTCTATTAAATTTAAATCAAGTGAAATAAATATTGCCTGTCTAAAAAATGTATTGAGTTTAATGTCTTATATTATAACCAATTTTTTTTAAATTTATAGCTGTTAGTTTTATTATCTTTATCTTGTACCGTACATGATAATCGTTATGTTTTATTATCTTCATCTTGTGCAGCACATGATAATGGTAAAGGGATTGAGAGCGTGAGAGTAAGTGAAGACTTCATGGGAGCACCATAGATAAAGTCAAGTCGTTTGTGAGAAGACTGAAACAATGCGACAGGGAACAAGTTTTTTTTCCCCAGATCTGCTGGCGTATCAAACAAAAGAAGCCAGTGTGAAGGGCTGACATTAAAATGTTCCTCACTTATATCTAACTTCTACTGCAATAGTTTAGTAGGAGCAGAATTTCTTTTTTATTTTTAAATAACTTGAAATCATTGTTACAAAATTTCCATTTTCAGGTAAGCCTATAGTGATGAAAGAGTCCCTGGATGCACTGCTAACTTCAAGTGACCCACTTCCTCCCTTTGGCAATGAGGCCACCGTGGATGCCAGCGCGTCCCATAAAATACCTGACATGTGGCCAGTTTTCCCCACAGTGGATTTCCTCGAAACAAACAACTACGAGCTGTCAAGTGAAATAGGTAGTTACTTTTTACCTTTCCTTGTTCAACACCAAGCATGGTGGTGCTGTAATTCTTATTCAAAGGTTCTCAATTCAGTCTTAATTTTTTCAATTATAAAAAATGTTTGTTTTAAAAGCCTTAAATGAATTAAAGATGTCATTTTGATTTACAATCAAAGCTGGGCTCAATTTTTAAACTCACAAAAAAATTATGTAAATCTTCCCATAGAAAGTGAAAAAAAAAAAAAATCAATCATAGGAATTTTATAGTTTTCTGAAAACTACATGCTTTTTCTTTAGAAAATGAAGGGCCAGTTAGATCTGAGAATGACATAAATATAGTTTTTTTATCTTTGTAAAATAGAACATTTTTTCTGGTACTTTTTTAAAAAATAAACAAAAGATACAAATATTTATGAAGATTATTGGGGGTTTTGTCCCCTTTTTTTAGAGGATAACGCAACCATATTTATTTAGTTCACTTATTTATGGCCATATTTGGATCTATTATCCTTGTTGTTATTAAATTTTTTAAAAATAAGTTTTCAACAGCAACCTGAAGTTGACCAATCCACACACCATCATACAGATCCCACGAAAGTACCACTGGGAACAGAAACATTACCAGGCTGCACAAATCATGACATGTTTAATGTACACCGCAGCATTGGCCCGCCAGAAATATGGAGTAAGTCAAAACATTAACAACTTTGCCAAGTCACAGCTGGTTATGTTAATATTGTTTTTTTTTGGAAAACAGGTTTATCTGAAATCTTGTTATAAACCTGTTATTGTTCTTTACAATACATTCCTGACTTTTCAACATAACAAGGTTAAATATACATGATATTTTAAGACGTATCACTAAATTTGTTTGAAAGAAACGGAAGTTTGGTAAAATCTTTTTTTTCAGTTCGCACGGTCAAATTTCTTTTTGAGCGCATTATTTTGTTTTACTATATACTGTTTTCAAAAAGTAATTTGACAAAAATTTGATCGTGTGAACTGGAAAAAAGATTCGACCAAACTTCTGTTCAAACAAATTTCATTCAATCAATTTTCTGTCGACAAAATTGCTTTCAAACAAATTTCCTGTAACCGTTTTAAGATGGTAAGCTGCAGTTTAGGACCCCAAAAAAATAACTGTTGTTTTGTAAACTCAACAACCGTTTATTGGTTTCTAAACTGATAACTGGAAATCTTGTAATCTTTTAACATCCTTATTCCCAATATTAAACCACCTCGTCCAGTGGATCTAGTTTGAATTTTTTTATTATTTTTTTTTGCGTGCTGCTTTCGGGATAGTTTTTCACAATAAGTTTAGAAGACTCAATTGTGAATTCTCAATTTATGAAATAATGTATTTAATGTATGATAATAAAAATCATTTAATATGCAATCATTTAAAATTATAGAGATCTTACCTGTTTCATCTAAAAAAATCTAAAATAATTTTTTTTTTTTTAAATTGCTTGAACCTTTCACTTAGAATGATGTGAGAGCACTGCCAGAACCCATCAGTGTGCAGCATGTCTCACTGGAACAAAATAAATTTCTGTTTGCTTTTTTCCAGGTAAGTTTTCACTGTTATGTTTCACTGGTGAACTTTGGTAATTGAACAGATATTTTTAACAAGTTAATTAGTTGCATTAGGTGAAATGACCATGTAACTACTTCGTATGAATCTAAGGTGTGACTAGACTTGGTTCTATCAATGATTTTTGCCTTGGATGTTAACATAGCTTTAAATATAGGTTATTTCAACAGTCTTTCTGTCAGCATCCATCTGTATATGGGATTCGATGCTGTAGTCTCTTGTCTCTGTCTGTCTTTGAGAGTCTGTGGTGTAGGATCTTCTCTCTGTCTGTCTATGAGAGTCGATGCTGTAGTCTCTTGTCTCTGTCTGTCTTTGAGAGACTGGTGTAGCATCTTCTCTCTGTATTTCTATGAGTGTCAATGATGTAGTCTATTGTTTCTGTCTGTCTTTGAGAGAATGTGGTGTAGCATCTTGTCAGGGCCTCCAGGAATAACTTAGATCTGATTCCTGGTTGTAAGTCTTAGCTGCATCTACCGCAGCAGAAATCATAGGCTGTTGTGTTTGAGCCTTCCTACTAGCTCTTTTTTTAACAAGATTTCCATTTTTTGATTTTTTCCCGTTCAACTCTCTGTTTGATAGCAGTTCATCAACTGGAAGTGTCCTAAGCTCAGCCCTCTCCGTTCCTTGTGCTTTGGCGTGGCACTTTTATAACTTTATTGCACCTGTCCATGTGGCAAAGACATGGCTGGCCAGTGTCCCAATATTCTTCCTAAGCTCAGCCCTCTCCGTTCCTTGTGCTTTGGCGTGGCACTTTTATAACTTTATTGCACAAGTCCATGTGGCAAAGACATGGCTGGCCAGTGTCCCAATATTCTTCCTGAGCTCAGCCCTCTCAGTTGCTTGTGCTTTGGCGTGGCACTTTTATAACTTTATTGCACACGTCCATGTGGCAAAGACATGGCTGGCCAGGATCCCAATATCCTTCTGCCAGTTGTACATGCATTAGGTCATTGGGCTATCAGCCTGGGTCCAATCTCTTGATATGGCAGAGGCAAGGAATATGCCAGACCCTTAGAGTGGAGAACATGGTGCAAATGATGTTCCGTTTCAGGAAACCCAGTGTTGTGCTTGTTTTTTTGTCCTGTCATGGATTACATTGCTGGCATCGCAGTTGGCCTCAGTAAGTTTGACAATTTTTAAGACAATAGTTCTCAGTGTGCTTCTTGTTGGTGCTGCTCAGGCCTACCTACCTCTTCATCAATGGAGTGTGAGCTAGAAGTGATTCGCCTAGGATATGTGAGGTTCCCAACTACTGTCAAGTTGTACTGAGTGTTGGTTGGGAGGGCTTGATCTTGCACAATGACACTAGTCTCTTCAGTAGAACCTTCATGTCGGCTTGAGTAGAGGTCACTTAAACTCTGCTGTAGAGGATCTTCTGTGTGGGAGGTGTAGGCATAGAGCCGTTCATGAATGAGAAACTTTGCTTCTTAACTTTTGGCAAGTAGGCAGCATTGAAATATTCGCAGTCAGACCTGGGAGTTGATGTCAACATCCTCTGCGCACTCTTTTAAAGGCGCAATGAAAGAAGAGCAAGGAGGAGATGATTGTGAAAAGCCTGGGGGGGGGGGGGGCGCGACAGGGATCCGGCCCTACTTCACTCAGCTCCTGACTTTCTTCATTTTCTTCTCTTGAAGCGCAGTGTGCTGTTTTCTGATCTCTTGGCATTACAAAATCAATTTTTCTGTAGGGGCCTGAATATTCTACTGACTTTTTCAGGTGCAGATCAAGTTGTCTGTGATATCATATGTACCAAGGTTCATAAGCTTACTATTAATGTGTGGTGTGAACAACTTCTTGTGGAAAAGGGGGGACGCGGTGTATCTTACAATTAGTTGATATTATATTGATTGGTATATTCAAATGTGTATGCTCAATTCAGCTGTCCTTTAAATATTATTCTATGATACATGCCTACTCGTTTTTTTTTTTTTCTTTAACATTTCCAAGTGTTCCTATTGATGATTGACAGTAACATTTCTTACCATGCTCCTAGTGATGATTGACAGTAACATTTCTTACCATGCTCCTAGTGATGATTGACAGTAACGTTTCCTACCATGTTCCTACTGATAATTGACAGTAACATTTCCTACCATGTTCCTAGTGATAATTGACAGTAACATTTCCTACCATGTTCCTAGTGATGATTGACAGTAACATTTCCTACCATGCTCCTAGTGATGATTGACAGTAACATTTCCTACCATGCTCCTAGTGATGATTGACAGTAACATTTCCTACCATGCTCCTAGTGATGATTGACAGTAACATTTCCTACCATGTTCCTAGTGATGTTCAAATGTGACCACAAAAAATCATTTCACTTCACAGCTTAATACTCTTGACCTGGATTCTGACAACGGCATAAAGAACTTGGTTTGGACGGCAGACAGGGCTGACCTATTCACGATCATTCCTGGTCAGCCGTGGATGCCCAAAAAACTTAAGACAACGAGATACGAAAACTTTGAACCCCTGGCATTCGATAAATTTCTGGCCGTCTATTTGAGTAATCTGCCAGAGGTGGCCAAACAGTAGCTGCCCCGTGATTATATTGTATGGGAGTCATCTTGTATGTTTTTGCTGGTGGGTTGCCCTGTATGAGATTCTTTATGCATCATTATGCTGTGAGTTGTCTTGTACCTGATAAGTTGTTGTTTTTTTTTTTTTGTTGTTTTTTTTTTGTGAAATGATCATGTTTTCTAGAATAACTTGTTTGTATTTTATTTTATTACAATTTGTTGTTTTTTTTGTGAATGAAGGAAAGGACTATTTGTTTTAAAGAAAGTTAGTTTCTAGTTATTTTGTTTAAAAGTTTCAGTAAAGCTATCCTGTATTGTTACTAGGATTAATAATTATATAAAATTTCATAGAATTTTGTCTATTAATTTTTTATTTTTTTTTTATTTAGAGAAAGAAAAAAAATGTAATGAAAATGTACACCATTGATCTAGGTCAGATTTAATGTGAACTTTGAACCTCATAAAATCTTATTAGCCTATTGTTTATCTATGATGTCTCACACTAAAATTACATATTTATCTATTAAAGGTTTTTTTCAATTTTTTTGTGTAAGGTACTGTCTCATGTTAGTTTCGTTATCATGTTTTGGCTCTTCTCACTCAAGAAGCACCTACACCATTGCTACACTAGCTTGTCCTTTAGTTCTTCATTACATATCTTGATGCTCCTACTTTTTTTTTTTTAATGTATATATTAGCATCATACTATCTCCTTTGTCCAAAACTGCACACAGCATTTCTATTTGGGCTAGTTCCTGTGAGAGAACTCCCTTTTAATTACTTAACCCCACCACCGCCACACAAGTGCCTCTCAAGACTATAAGTGGACTTGTGCAGCAAATCTTTCTTTCCGTTTCCTTGAAACTCCAAACAACCGGACCTGGCCTGTGTCCAACAACAGATTCCCTGCCCATAGGTCACCTTGGTGTTGGGTTAAGCCATACTTTCTGTTGTCAGAGCATTCACATCGGCAGCCAACCCTGGGGGGGGGG